CTACCTCTCAACTAACTAACTAACTAAATAAAGTCTTAAAAAAAAAAAAAGGGGGAAGAAGAAAGGTAGCGTTACACAGAGACAGAGAGGGAGAGATTTTCCATCTGCTGCTCACTTCCCAAATGGCCGCAACGGTCAGGTTGGGCCAGGTCAAAGCCAGGAACCAGGAGCTTCTTCTGGGTCTCCACGTGGGCGGCTGAGGACCAAGCACTTGGGCCATCTTCTGTTGCTTTCCCAGATGCATTAGTGGGTAGCTGGATCAGAAGTGAACAGCCAAGTCTTGAGTCATTGCTTGTATGGGACGCTGGCAGCTTACCCCCCTGCCCCCCTGCCCCACAATGCCGGCCCTCTTAGAAAGCTTTTTTTTTTTTTTTTTTAAGATTTATTCATTTATTTGAAAAAGTTACAGAGAGAGAGAGAGGGAGGGAGAGGCAGAAAGAAATCTTCCACCCTCTGGTTCGCTGCCAGGGCTGGGCCAGGCAAAGCCAGGAGCCAGGAGCTTTTTCCAGGTCTCCCACATGGGTCCAGTGGCCCAAGCACTTGGACCATCTTCCACTGCTCTCCCAGGAGCATTAGCAGGGAGCTGGTTCAGAAGTGGAGCAGCCGGGACTCAAACAGGCACCCATATGGGATGCTGGGTGTTGTAGGCTGTGGCTTTACCCGCTGCGCCACAGCGCTGGGCCACCTTCCTCTACACCTCCCTCTCCCCCACCCCTGCTTACAAAGTTTTAGTAAAGATGCAATGAGTTCGCAAGAATCTAAGACTTAGGCAAAAGGTTCCTGGTTTCTCAGGGCACATCCTTACCCGGAGTGGGGCTTTGCAGGAGCTGACCTGGTGGCCAAGGGAATGGCCAGGGGACGAGAGCCCAGGTCCAGTGTCCTGGGTGCCCCTGGCTGCCAGCCCTGGTGCTGTCCTTTGCCCTCATCTGTGAAGTGGGGACAGTGGGTGTTTGCTCAGCTTTGCTCGCAAGGCTGCAGCGGTGAGGATGAAAGGGGATTAGGGCAGCAGACGCCTTTGTGAACGACAGAACACAGCTACCGCCCACCGCGCGGTGGTGGTTACGTCATGGAAGGCACCTGGGCTCTCTGCTCTCCTTCCTCTCTCAAGGGCAAGGAACCAGGTGGCCCAGGACGCTCCCAGGAAGCAGCTCAAGGAATCGGCTCTGGGAACCCCAGGACCCGGGGTGGGGGTGGGGAACAGAGCCCCCAGGCTCCTGGTCTGGGGCTGGGTGGGAGTGGCTTTGGGCTGTATTGGTAGGGGGCGGCAGAGGGGTAGCTGGATTCTGAGGACATCACGGGAGGCCGACGTTCTCACAGGTCTCTCTGGGGAGGAGGGAGTGCTCCTGATTCAGGTGGCAGCTGGGGAAGCCGGAAGTCCTATTAGGATTTCCTTCTAGGGGAAGCAGCTGGGGGCTAAGGCGGAGGCACCACACACACACAACACCCCCCCTTTTCCAGGCAGGAGTTTGGGATTGTCTGCAAATGCCTGGACTCCTTCGCTGCCCCGCTGTGGGCCCCATGTCTGTGGCAATAATCCCTGGAGTCCGATAGGGGCAGGGAGCCGGGGTGGCCTGGGAGCGACTCCAGGCTGTGCGGGCTCCTCCTAGCGCGGTCCGGCTTCTGCTGATCCCAAATCCTCTTGGCTGCTTGGCTCGCATCTGGGTCCCAGCTGGTTGTGTCTCGGTTCGATCCGAGCTGTCTGGGCTCTGTCTAGCTCCGTCTGAGCCTGTCTGCCTTCCGTCAGGTTCTGTCTGCGTTCCGCTCAGGCCCTGTTGGGCTGTGCGCTTCCGATTCCAGCTGGCTTCACCCACAGGTAGCCACTTGTGTTTGGAGCCCGTGCTGGATTCCTTCAGGCCCTGCGGGTCGGATTCTGCCAGAGCTGGGAGTCAGAATGAATACCTCTTCCATCTCCGTTGGGACTGATCCTTGAGGGACATGGATTTTGAACCCCCCTCCCCCGATCTCTTTCCCAGGCAATCAGGAGCATACAGCCCCGCCCCCGCCATGCCCAGTTTACAGTGTGCACACCCCAGGCTCAGAGAGGCTGGGAGAGGAGGCCCTTGGGGCCCTCCCGAAAGCCCCCAGGGTGCTGTGGCCGTCTGTGTGGTGCACATGCCAGCGTGTGCCCTTGCTGTGGGCCTGGGTGCGGTGAACAGCAGCTCATCAAGGCCTCTCGGCGTGGGTGCTGGGGGCCTATTTCTGTGTGCTCGGCATGTCAGCGCTTCTGTCTGTGTCGCTGGGTCTGTCTGTCGGGGGCGGCGGTGCTGTGGGCGGGTGAATCCCTTTGTGTCTCCTCGGAGCCCTGCCTGGGAGGGTTGAGCAGCAGCTGGGGAATCCAAGCAGGCAGGAATCAGCGGGGGTGAAGCTGCAAGGGGCTGGATGACAGCACAGTGCGCGGGCACACACACACACACACACACACTGACACGCGGGGAGTGGGCGGGAGGGGGACGGCACGGGGAGCCGGGGGTCAGGGCGCTGCCGGCTCTGGCCTCAGCCTGCTCAGCTTGGCACCTGCCGCTGGCAGTGCAGTGACCTTGCAGAGGGGGTCATTGTGGCTGGTTGGGTGGGGGCAGGAGAGGGAAGTGGGGGGGAGTAGGGTGAGTCCCGGGCAGGCACAGCTGTGGGATGGCAGGGAGGTTCTGGCTTCTGGGACAGGCTCCTTTCCAGAACCCTCCTTATAACCCCGAGCCAGTTATTGCAAGATGACATTTAGCTGCTTGTTTAAATATTGAACTCCGTCCCCACTGGTTGGTGAACAGTACCCTCCCTAACTTGTTCCTTTCCGGGGCCTTGTGCACCCCGAAAGGATGGCCTTTTGCTAGTTCCTCCCAAGATCCTTTGGGTTGTTGGGAGCCAGTGTTCATCTGGACTCTGGGTGCTCTTGTCATCCCTGTGCATACCCCCCTCCCAAGACCCGCTTTTGGGCCCCGTGCAGCCAGCGTCCCTGCGTGTGTGGTGGGGAGAGGTCAGCCTTGGGGACAGGCAGGGGCTGCCCAGTGCATTTAGCTTTCCTTTGCCTCCCAGGCGAAAGACAGTGACGATGAGGAAGAGGTGGTCCATGTGGATCGGGACCACTTCATGGATGAGTTCTTCGAACAGGTGATGACCCCCCCCATGCCCCTAACCCAGCATCCAGCCCCCAGCCCCCAGCCCCCAGCCAAGCACTTCCTCCACCGGTTCTCCCTTCTCTGCACCCATCTCTTCTCACCCGCCTGCTGGTCTGGCCCATTTCCCTGCACCCTGGCTGGTTCTGGCGCTTCTCCTTGTCTGGCCAAGCTGCTTGGCTGGTAGAGCTGCCTTTCCGTCCCAGGTGGAGGAGATCCGAGGCTGCATCGAGAAACTGTCGGAGGACGTGGAGCAGGTGAAGAAGCAACATAGCGCCATCCTGGCCGCCCCGAACCCAGATGAGAGTGAGTGCTGAGCTTGGGTGGCTGTGGGGGGGCAGCAGCAAAGGGGCCTGGGGTCCCACCCACACTGCTCGCTCCCCCGTCGCTCTCCCTGCAGAGACCAAACAGGAGCTGGAGGACCTCACAGCAGACATCAAGAAGACGGCCAACAAGGTCCGGTCCAAGTTGAAAGGTGAGGAGTGAGGAGAGCAGTCCCACAGCCAGGGGTCAAAAGGACTGGGCTCGCCCCGGGCACAACAGGCCTCCTTTTTTTTTTTTTTTTTAAGCAGAAATACCTGAGTGCTTCCAGATCTCTAAAACAGTGAGAAGACACAAAAGCCAGGCCTCTCCTCCATCCAGATTCTTTGGAGAAAAGTACATGACAGGCATCTGAGGGAGAGGAGGGCCTGCATCCAAATTGTGTCCACCAGCAGGACAGCCCACCAGAAACATGCAGCCTTGCTAGTAGCTAGGGTTTCCCTTCAGTCCTCATCCCCCCCCCCACACCCCTGAATAGGCTCCCCCAGTGTAAGCACTGAGCACCCAGTAGGTGGGCTCTGCAAATGCTTCCGAATTGACGTTCTGGACTCAGGACAGATTGGACCGTGTGGCTGCCATCAGGGGCTGGCACGCTCACAGGAGGGACTTGCCAAATGCTGCCATATTCACTCTAATTTAAGGACTTGGGTGCTGGTAATAACCACCTTCCCCCAGTGCATTGTGGGTGGGGAACCTCCTTGTGTGCTGATGCGAGGCTGTTTTGTCTGCTCGCGGTGATCCAGCGTCGGGAAGCACTCGCCAAGCACCTGCCCCGGGCCACGGCCACGGCCATGGCCACGGCCCACCGCGGGCCTTGGTGGGGGAGGCAGCTTTATCAGATGCTTGGCCCCAAGAACGCTGACCTTGGTCCAGGGAGCTGAGGTCGGAAACTCCAGGCTCTCCTGGACTCAAGGGGAGGCCATATGGGAGCCTCTGGTGCTGATCTGGAAAAACAAGCCCTCTGCACTCAGGAGAGTGTGCTGGACTGGAAAGCGCCCTGCACTGGGAGCACAGGAAGTGCAAAGCCAGCCCGGGAGCCCGGCCCCACGGCCCTCTCCCTCTCAGCTGGCTCACCAGTGCAGGAGGAAGATGGAAGCAATTTCGAAAGTGGCTTTATTTGGGGGGCTGGGAGGGGGACAGGAAAATCTTTTTCTCCAAATAAAATTTTCTTACATAAAAATCCCACGGAGCTGTGTTGCTCTGGCTGGACTCAGTGCAGAGGCCTGGCCTCCATCCCAGCCCGCGGTTCCTCTCAGAAGCACGGTTCCTGCTGGAACGCAGCTTTAAGAACCCCTGGGCTCCACAGTTTCTCGGGGCTCGTGCAGCTCTGACCTTGAACGGCGTTCAGAGCAGCTGAGGGCTCTGTGGGTCAGGGGTTCAGGAACAGAAGAGAAAGAAGCCGGGAAGAGTGGCTGTGGTTTAGACAAACTGACCCAGAGCTCCAGAAAAGAGAGTCTCATTTTCTCCACCCTCTTCCAGCTGGGGGTGTGAGCTTTTTGGGTGTGACCTTGAGCGAGGGGTCTCGCCCCTCCGAGCCGCAGGGTCCAGGCCACACAGGGTTGATACCCCAGGTTGCTGTAAGGTCGATGGAATCCTGCCAACCTTGGCTCCAGCTGCAATAGGGCCCAGTCTGGACCAGCAGATTCCAGCATTCCTGTGTGTTTCCTCGGGTCGGCTGGGCCAGAGCCGGCTCTGTCACTCAGTGCCTGCTGTTGCTGGCAGGGGAGCCTGGGAGTGCCATCCAGCCCTGTGCCTCTCCTGCTGCCCGAGAACAGAGACGTGATATTCTCAGGAAGGCCTGGGGGCCCGGTGAGGTGGGAGAGGGCCTGGTGATTCATCCCTGCTGCATTTGCTGATGTTCCGGAAGCTGATCTTAGCACCAGCGCTGCTGTGGGAAGTCTGAATGGGCCTGACCGCAGGGCCTGACCATCCAGAAGCGAGAATCCCAGTTCACCTGTGCCTTTTTTCAGAACATCCTTTAGAAGGGGGTACCTCCGCGCCCCACCCCCATGACCACCTTGCAGGGCTGGTTGTTTTCTTTTCTTTTCTATGGGGACGTCCATCTGTTCACCCTAGAACTCTCTGAGGAAAAGGTGGTCCCTAGATCTGACCCCACCTGCAAGTGCCTGCCTTTCACCCGAAAAAAAAAAAAAAATCAAGGGCTGGATTCCCGCCTGCTGTCTAGAGGCTGTAGGAAATGGAGAGTTCCCCACATAGGGGTCTGAGGGCGTCGACCCCGCTTACTCCCCAGACCCCCATCCCATATGCCTGAGTCTCGCGCTCTCTGTCCCACAGCGATTGAGCAAAGCATTGAACAGGAGGAGGGGCTGAACCGTTCCTCCGCGGACCTGCGCATCCGCAAGACCCAGGTAAGGAAGTGGCTGCCAGGCAGGGGCGGGGCTGGGACCGGGCCTGGGCGGAGCCCTGGCGGGAGCGGAGCCAACCGGAACGCAGCAAGGCGCGGGGGCGTGCCCTGGGCGGGGCTATAGTGGGTGGGACCCTGACTGCTGGGTGCGCCCTGGTGGTTTGGTTGTAGTATGGAGGTACAGGGGGGTGTGTGGCCTGTGGTTGTGAACTTGTGGGAGGTTGGGGTCGCGGCCCACGGTGGAGAGGGGGTCATTGATAAATCCATCCAGCCCGTCCGCTCAGTGCCTCCCCACACACCTGCCTTGCTCTCTCTGTGATGTGTCTCCGCTACCCCAGCACTCCACACTCTCCCGGAAGTTCGTGGAGGTAATGACCGAATATAACGCGACCCAGTCCAAGTACCGGGACCGCTGCAAGGACCGGATCCAGCGGCAGCTGGAGATCAGTGCGTGCCTCCCCCACTCCCCCCACCCCCCAGGGCGGCCCCAGCCCCTTTCCGGGCCCTCCCCACTCCTGTGGAGGGAGCTCCTGGCCTAAGGCCTCCGGGGAGGGTGGGCGCTGGGGTCCCTGCCCGGCTCCCTCTGCTGCGGGCCCCCAGGCTGGCGCAGTGCTGAGCAGTCCCTTCTCCCCGCAGCCGGAAGGACCACAACCAATGAAGAACTGGAAGACATGCTGGAGAGCGGGAAGCTGGCCATCTTCACGGATGACGTGAGCCTTGGGCAGGGCCGGGCGGGTTGGGAAAGCCCTGGCCTCCCCTCTCCTGGCCTAGGCTGGACCGAGGGCCCAAGTCTGCTGTGGAAGTTCAGGCGCCCAGAGTCTGCCCGAGGAAGTGGGGAATTCCGTGCAGGCAGGGCAGGAAGGCACCTCCCTAAAGATGGCTCCGGGTGGCGTGCCAGGCCTGGGACGTGCTGCTCACCACAGCGCTGCGAACGTGGCCCATTTCACAGATGAGGAGCACTGAGCCGGAGGGACCGGGACAGAGGCGGGATTTGCAGCCGGAGTCCGGTTCCCGGGTCAGAGCTCTTGCGTAGTGATACTACGCATGCGCGCCCCTGCTGGCGCACGTCCCTTCGCTGTGCGTGACTCATTTTGAAGATTTTCCTTGAAAAACCCAGTTTTAGTTTTGTTCAGGTTTTGCACCCTGTACCTGCTCTTGGCATTTTATATGGGGAGGGAGGGGCCTTTCCCTAACTCTAGTTCTTCTTCCTCCGTGGACTTTCGCCCTGGCCTGCCCGGTCCCTGTCTCTCGGTTTCGAATGGCCAGATGTCTCTGGTTAAAGCTTTTGGCCCAGTTTTCCAGTTGGTGTGGTGATGGTCGAGCAGTGTTAGGTGGAAAAACAGATCTTTGTGGAATTAGCCTGGAGCGAGCTGGTTGCTGGCCTCTTGGCCCGAGGCCCCCCAGATAGCTCTACCCTGGGCTACCTGTGTTTGTCATCTGTGCGAGAATGGAGGGACATATGATGGGTGGTTCCAAGTGGACAAGAGCTGGCCTTGGCCAGTCCACCCACCATCGTTGCCATGGAAACTCACCATTACAATGCAAGGTGGTGGGGACCTTGGTTGAGGGTGGTGCACCTGCTCATGGTAGCTGAGGGTGACTGATGCTCCCGTCAGGGAAGACTTCCTGGGGGAGGTGTCACTGAGCTGCGCTTTGAGGGACAAAGGGTTTTGGGGACATGGAGAGATGGTGGAAAGGCATTTGAGGCGAAAGGAACAGACAGAGCAAAGACAAGGAGAGAGGAGCCACTGCGGGCAGCTATGGGCTGAGCAGGGAGGAGATAAGGGCAGAGTGGGGGGAGGGGCAGGCTGTGACCACTGGAGTGAAAGAAAGTGGGGAGCCCTGGCCTGAACAGAGCGGGGGGAAGGGGCTGTGGGGAGGACGGGTCTGATCGTGGGTTCAAGTCTCTGTTTTATTCCCCTGTGCATCCCTGCACTGTCTGCCTGGGGACCTCCTCTAGGTGGTGTGTCCTCTTCCACGCCCTGTGTGCCTTTGAGTCTCTCTCTTCCCTGGGTTTCCCTGGCCCTGGGGCCAGGTGGTGGGTTCCCAATGAGTTTTATCCCCTGTGTTTTATTTTATTTGTGAGGGTGTGGGGCGGGGGGATGGATCTGCTTGTTCACTCCCCCACATGCCTGTCGGCCGAAGCCAGGAACCCAGATCTCAATCGGGATCTCCCATGTGGGTGGCAGGGACCTAAGAACTTGAGCCATCCCGGGTCAGCCTCCCAGGGTGTGCATTTATAGGAAACTGAAACCAGAAGCAGAACCGTGCTGGACTCCAGGGGCTCTGATAGGAGATGCAGGCATGCATGTCCCAGAGCATGTTAGGTGCCTGCCAAACACCTCCCCCTCTGGTACTTTTAAACACTGTTGTCACCAATGGCTGTGATGGCTCACTCAATTTTCACATCAACCTCGGGCAGTGGGCACCAGCTGGGGAGACCCATCTCCCCGAGGTTACAGCAAGGAGCTGACACCCGGATTTGAACCCAGGTCCTCTGGCTTCAGAGTCTTGTGTCCGCAAAGGGGCGATCACACCTCCCCTCCCCCTCTCCTCCACCCCTTCCCCCCTCCCAGATCAAAATGGACTCGCAGATGACGAAGCAGGCGCTGAACGAGATCGAGACAAGACACAACGAGATCATCAAACTGGAAACCAGCATCCGTGAGCTGCACGATATGTTTGTGGACATGGCCATGCTCGTGGAGAGCCAGGTACCAGCTGGGGGACCCCCCAGGGCGCCCCAAGGCCCGCCTCCTGCCCAGCCCCCCACCGCTCCTCCCTCGGCACCTCTCTCCGTCCCCAGGGCGAGATGATCGACCGCATCGAGTACAACGTGGAACATTCCGTGGACTACGTGGAACGGGCTGTGTCCGATACCAAGAAAGCTGTGAAATATCAGAGCAAGGCGCGGAGGGTGAGCCCCGGGCAGGTGGCCCCCGGGGGAGGAGGAGGCCCGGAGCCTGGTGGGTGGGGCTGGGCTCCCCCGGCCAGTGTTGAAATCGGGCGAGAAAGCCTTATCTCTAGCTCTGACCTTTTCCTATTTCTGTTTTCTCTCCTCTCTTTCTCTCGCACCCTCCTCCCCCACTGCCGCCTCACCTCCGTCTGTCTGTCTGTCGGTTTGTCTCTCTCTCTTTCCCTGTTACTCTGTCTCGCTGCGCTTTCTGGCTGCAGAAGAAAATCATGATCATCATTTGCTGTGTGGTGCTGGGCGTGGTCTTGGCGTCATCTATTGGGGGGACGCTGGGCTTGTAGGCCCCTCCCACCCTGATTCTCCCACGCCCCTCCCCCACCACATCGGGAGCAATACCCCCTTCCACTCCGTCCCCCCGCCCCCGCTCCAGGCTCACCCTTGAAACAGACCCCTGGCAGCCCCACCCCCTCCTCACCCCCACGGCAGCCCCTGGAGTCCCTGGGCCTCACCTGCCACGGTCCGCCCCCTCCCTGGCCCCGCACGTAGATCGCAGCAGGCGTGATTATACATGCACATTAACATGCATGCCGCCGGCACATGCTCGAGACGTGTGGATGCCCCAGCGTGTGTGTGTGTACATGTGCAGATGTGTGTAAGCACCCCCGCCCCTCTCGTCCCCCCCGCAACCTAGTCTGCGTGTGGTCTCCACCTCCCCCAACCTTCTCCCGGGTTGTTGTGGGGACTGTGGCTGAGCATAACCCAACAGCCCACCACACCCAGCTCTGTCTTCTGTGTGTCTGTGGTTGTGTGTGTGTGTGCGCACGCGTGCACGGACACACAACCCGTGTACATGGCGTTTTGTGTTGGAGTGCTTGAACCCAATGCGACTGTGGTGCCTGCTGGCCCCTCCTCCCACCCCCCACCCCCGCCATGTGTACTGTCCCCTGGGCGGGCCCCGATACATAGGCCACGGCCCACACGATGTAGGATTGTGTGTGTGTGTGTGTGTGTGTGCATCTGTCTAGGGGCTTCCTACAGTGTATGTCTGCGCCCTGTGTGTTATCGTCACAGGCGTGTTTATCATTAAGGCCAGGAGCCCCAAGCAGGTTTGTTGTCAGATGTGCTGCTATCAAGGACTTGGCCACACACACACACACACACACACTGCTACATCAACACCGGGCAGCTGGCACACCAGGCTTCTGTGTGCACAAGCCCAGATCCTTATCTCTGTCTCTCCGCCCCAGGGTGTTTCGAGCCCCCTGAGAACTGGAGCGTTGCACAGTGCTCATGAATGTCCAGGCCGAGCAGAGCCCTAGAAAGGTGGCCGCACCCTGGCGCACGCGCATGGCCCCTGCACTGGGTGCGCGTGCTTCCTGGAAGGCTTGTTTGTAGGGGTGTCACTGATGCGGCCAGGTGCCGAGGGCTGCCCCAGACAGGCAGAAAACCAGGGCCCTGTTTCCTGCCTCCCACGCACTCACCTTAGACGCAGCATAGGCCAGTGTTTGTCCTCGTGGCCTGTCGGATGCCCTGAGCTCTGGGGAACTTGGGTTTGAGGCTGGAGTGGCCAGGGCGACAGCTGCCATTCAGGGAGGCCTGGGACCTGGGCCTTGGCCTGTTGGACACCTCTCCTGCACTAGTATCTGCAAAAGGGCTGCTCCCCACGCCAGCGTGAGTTCGAGGGTGGGAAACGGGCCTGGGGTTCTGGTGGAGAGCAGGGGCCAGCAGCTCCGGGGGTGTGTAGGCGACAGTGGGCCAGGTTTGTGCGTTTGGTGGCAGGTGAGAGGTGCATGGCAGAAGGGAAGCCCCCCGTAGCCCCGCACATGGTGGTTGAACACATGGCTGTGTGTGACCTGCCTTGGGGTCGGCATTCAGGTGTGTGTGTGTGTGCGTTTGGAGAGAGTGCAGGTGAGTGACCATGCAAATCCCGTCCCTGCTTAGACAGCCAACCCCTTCCCTGCCTGGCTGCCTGCCCTGATCTGCGTGCGTGTCAGTGTGGCCGCCTGTCCACACTGGGCCTGCCTGTCCATTCCCAGAATGCCCTTCTGCAGGACAGGAAGTGGGCGCAGAACCTGACCGTAGCCTCCAGCCCCCATCCCAGGCTGCTTTGGTGATGTGAGAGCAGGCCCCAGCGTCCAGCCAGGAACCTCCTCTCCCTCCCCACCCGTCCCTTTCAGCGCAGGTGTTTCCGGAAGTCCCGCAGCCCAGGGGCCGGCACCAGAAAAGTGGAGCCACGGTCCCAGAGCTCTGCTCCTGGGTCCGAGGGTGGCGTTAGGCCCGCACTGCCCATATCTCTGGGTCTCAAACGGACTAGGGGGCCCTGGGGATGGGGTGATGTGGCCCCAGTGTGCTGCAAAGCCCACAGGTCACGGGCTGTGTTTACCTGGCTGCTGGGGTGTCTCCTGGGGGCTGGTGTCTTTTGCATGTTCTCGGACAAGTGTGTGCTCCCCATTCCCCACGCACCTACAGCCACCAAGCCCATGGGTGCCCCGTGGGTGGTCCGAGGCCCGGCCAGGGCTTAGTGCTCCCCTTCCCCCAGACTCCCTGTCCCCACCTCTCACGAAGCACAGTGCGTGTCCATCCCATGTGCCCGTGGGGCGACACACGCTCTTGCCACGCCTTGAGCGTGTACAACATGACGTGTTCTATGCATTCACCCTGCCCTCCCCCGCCCGCCCCGCAGAGGACAAGATGGGCTCCCCCCTCCCGGCCCTGCCCCCTCCTCCCTGCCCGCTGTGCAGCCGTGTGCGTTGGCGTGTGTTTCTGTGTCGCTGGCGTGTCACGTGACGTAGCCGTGTTTGCTGACATGAGCCCTTGCCCCCCCTTCTCCGTTTCTCCATTGGTTTCTAGAGCGCTCTCCCTCCCCTCCCCAGAGGGGGACAGGACTCCTGGGGCCTGGCTGGGGGGCCCAGAGCCAGGCCACCCTCTCCTGTTAGCCCTGAGTCCCATTTCTCTCTATTGGTGACCAAGTTGCAAATGGATCAAACAGAGACAACTTCTGTCCCCACCCCCGGCCCTGCATGTCCTGTCCGCAGAGCGTCCCCACCCCCAACCCCCCGGGCCGGGTCGGGCCCTGTGGGACGGGAGAAATAGCAACCAATCCAACAGCGGGTGTGCCGTGTGCTCACTGCTTCTGTCCCTGCGGTGGAGGGGGGCTGGTGGGGGGCGGGGGGACAGTCGCCGTGCGGAGGGGCAGACGCAGAGCGGGCTGGGGAGCTAGACAGACTCCATGACGCAGGCTCGGAGAAGGGTTTTAATTCAGGGCTCGGGCAGGGACAGCTTTCCTGGGCTACAGCAGGCCCTGTGAGTCCGGGTGGAAAGAGAGAAGTTGAAAAATACACTCAAGTCTTCAGCCTGTGCTGACGGGAATTAAATGATGGCTGCATACAGGTGACACATGTTTGAAAATCTTGCAACTCCAACCGCCCCAGGAGGGACAGGTGGGAGGAGAGACAGAGAGGCCGCTTCACTCTGTGACCCTGGGCCTGCAGGTTGCGATCACCCGCATCTGGGAATACCAGCACCTGCACCAGCACAAGGCCTGGGGCGGTTCCGTGGCCTCCTGCTTGGGAAGCCAGAGATGGAAGTGGAGGACACCGGGGACTCGGCCCCTCGCCAGTTGGCCTAGAGGTTGAGAATGAAGACATGCCTGTCCCCACACCCTGCCTTAGAGCGTGGGAGTCTCAGAACAAAGCCACGGACTTAGCGCCAGAGCCGCCTGGCCATCCATGGTCCCATCCCTTCCAGGCCTCTGTGGCTGTACCGGGAGGGCCTCCAGACCCCCAGGCCCGACGTCAGTGGGCAGAGCCCTCCCCCGTGGCCTGCACCCAAAGAATGGTGCGGGTCCGGCTGTCCTCCCAGGAGAACAGGGGCTCGTAGCCGAAGTGGCGCCGCGCCTTGTCGGTGCTGACGGTGAAGGTGGTGTTGGCCACGGCCAGCGTGTAGGGGTTCAGCAGGGGTGCGTAGAGCAGCAACGGCCGCAGCAGCCACTGCAGCAGGGCGTTGAAGGCAGCCAGGAAGACCAGCAGCCAGTAGGGCAGCAGCGGGCGGGAGCCCACCAGCCGCAGTCCGCAGGGGCCCAGGAACTCCATGTTGAAGTCTTCGTAGCTCTTGTAGGGTGACTTGTCATAGCAGAAGTACACCTGGCCGCCCAGGAGCGCCGCCCGCTGCTGCAGCTCCCGGGCCACCAGCACGTGCATCCAGGCCACGTTGCCTGTGGTGGTGGTGAGGGGGGAACGCGTGGCCCTGAGCGCCCCAGCACCCAGGCAGGTGCATTCCTGGGCCAGCCCATGCATGAGCCACTCCCTATTGGGGCTCGCCATGCCCCGCCCGACCCCACCCGGCCCCTGCAGCCTGGTCGAGAGGCTAAAGCTAGGACACACACTTGCTTGCGTGCACACCATCCTTGCTAGCCGGGGTAAGCCCAGCGTCCCCACCGCCTGATCTTGGCCTCCCCAGCCCAGCCCACTCCTCACCCACGTAGACCCGGCCATGCTCCACAGACGCTGGGATGGCCCGGAACAGCCGGCCCCCCAGGCGCGAGCCCTGGCGGTAGAAGTCTCTCATGATCTGGTGGCCTTCACCGTAGATGCCCGTGGGACGCAGGGCACACGTCACCAGGGGCAGCCCTCCACGGACCTGGCGGCACAAGGCAGACTCTGCTAAGGACACGGAACCAGTGGCTTGCCCTCTGCCCCTGGGCCTCCTCGGGCTGGTGATAGCAGGGACGTGGGTCCCAGGCCAGGCCCTGCCCTGGCGATGGGCCAGGCCCCATCGCCGCGTCTCACTCCCCGAGTCCCACCTTCCTGCCGTTGGCCTCCAAGACCAGTCGCTCGGCGAGGGCCTTGCTGCACGGGTAGGGGTGCTTGTGCACGGCCTCATATGGGGTGTCCTCGTTGCCCCTGTGAGGGGAGAGGGAAGACTCAATGCCGAGGGGGAGATGGACTTCCGGGAGGTTCGGGGACCTCAGCTCACCTGTAGAAGGGGTGGCCTTTGGCGTTAGGACCCACGACCTCCATGCTGCTCGTATAGACCAGGAACTGTGTCCCAGCCTGCACACAAGCTTCGATCACATTCTGCGTGCCTGGGGGAGGGTGGGGGGGTATCCAAGCTGGGGCTTCTTCCCTCTCGGCAGCTTTCCCTTCCCATCCCAGGACCGGGGGCGGGGGCGGGGCACGACCCACAACAGGTCCCATGAAGCTGGGACAGGAGTAGTGAGCAGTCACCCATGGAGCATTGGTCACAGGTTGCCCCAGCAGAATCCCAGGTCAAGGTCAGAGTGAGGGAGGTGAACAAACAGACAGGATCAGGCCGCCGTACCCTGCACGTTGACCTCATGGATGGCCTGGGGACTGGCTCTCCCAAACACGTCCACCAGCCCAGCTGTGTGGATGACCACATGGGCTCCGGCGACAGCGGCTGCTACCTCGTGGGCCTGGGTCACATCCCCCTGGATGGCAGTCACCTGCACAGGCCCTGGTGGGAACCGGGGAGGCCAGAGGGCCAATGAGGGCGGGGGCCACTGGCTGCCGCTGGCTTCAGCCTACACCCTTGGAAGCCACACGTTCCCTATGTGACTCACTCGTCCCATCCATGTGGGCTACAGAATATAAACAGGGCTCATGTTTTCCACCAAGGAGGGAGGAGCCTCCCTGGGGAGTCTATCCCTCCACACACACACACACACCCCCCCCCCCCCGTCGCCCCAATCACCTGTCTTCAGCTCCTCCAGCCAGGGGCTCAGGTGTCGGTCAAAGACCCGCAGCTCACGGAGCCGCGGCTCCCGCTCCAACAGCATTCGTACCACGTGTCCCCCCAGGAAGCCACAGCCACCTGTGACCAGGTACACCAGCTTCTGGGCCTGGGCAGACTCTTCCATGACCCCGGCTCACTTGTGCTGCCTGCTGCGACCTGCTCGGGGCCTGCTGGCCCTGCGGGCTGGAGGGCAAGTGGGTGGGCGGGCGGAGGGGCAGACCTGCTCTCAGATGCCGTTCGGCTGTGGGCGCGGCAGCCGGGTCACCTGTCCTCGGAGCCTGCCAGCTGCAGAGGTGCTGAGAGGGGTGGGGGGCCAGGGTTTGAGGGGGGTTGGGGAAAGAGGTTTGGGGGACAAGATCAGGAGAGTGGGGAGACGGGCAGGGAAGGGTATGGAAGGTGGGAGGGGCCGGGCTGCTGGGGCCTTGGGCTGCCCCCCTTCACCCACCCCCCACCTACCTGCGGCCACTGTCCCGGGGAGCCCAAACTGGCCACCAAAGGAGCTGGCCGGCCAACCTCATACCGTCTTCCTTCCGCTTGCTCCTCCTCCTCCTCCTCCTCCTCCCTCCTGGCCCATTCCAGGAACGGAGAGCAGCTCAGCCTCCACCCCCTCCACCTCCCACCCTGCACACTTGCCACAGGGCACCCCCTGGTGGCCGCTCGGCGCTCCGCTGGCGTTTGGATCCTGCAGAGAACTTGGGGAGAAGGGATGGAGGGGCCGGGACCTGCTGGATGGGCGCTGAGGGCTTTGGGGACCTCGGGATGGCGCCAGCAGGGTGACCTCATTCCCAGGGCCTGACCTCAGCCTTCCCCGCCTGCTGGATTTCCCAGGAGGCCAGAGGCCTAGCAGCAGCTGTGCTTCTGGGAAGGGAAGGGAGGCCTGACCTTGGCCCCGCTCTGGCTGGCCCTGGCGGGGGATTCCTGGCACAGGGTGGCAGCTGGTGAGGTGGTCCTGCAGCTGGCTCTGCAGGTCTGCCCCCTTGCCTGAGCCAAGAGCTCCCCCACCCCCGCTTGGCCTCTCATCCGGCCCCACCCTCTGTCCTCCACCCCAGCCCACCCTACTCTTCCCCAAAGATACTGACCAAGCACTTTTTTACAATAAAGTTTAATCACAATTATAAAAATGTGGCGTTGGGTTTGCGCTATTAACATATATACAGTCCAGCCCAGCACGAAGGGCCCACCCACCTCCCCCACCGTCCTGGCCAGGCTCGGCGGGAGCCTCCAGGACGGCGGGGTGTGGGGGGCATGGCCCGCAGGGGCTGGCAGGAACAGAAGATGAGGCAGGGTTCCAGGCACGGAGTCCCCAGGACTGGGGGCGCAGGGCCCCCAGGGGGAGAACATGGCCACTGCCCCAGAGACCCCTAAACCGGGGAGGGGTGCGCGCAGGGCATGAGGGGAAGTCCCCATGAACACAAAGCAGGAGGGCTGGGCAGCCCCCCAAGAACAGGATCTGTACAGGCCGGCACCCCAGGTTTCCACAGGAAACAGCTGCTGGCAGCTACGAAACATTTACAGCTTCTTCTCCGCAAAGAAACAAAATGGGGGGGGGGGGGACGAGGAGGGGAGCTTGGGGGGACGGGGGAGGCAGAGCTGCCTCGGGGACTGAGGCTCCCTCGCTGGGCCCAGGGCCCCCCGAGCCCCGCACTCGGGAGAAGGGGGCACGTGGGCCCTGCCGGGCCCGCTAAGGCTGGGGGTGCGGGAGCTCAGGGCACCAGGGCTTATAAATAGGGGTGTGGGCACAGGCCTGGCCCACCTCAGTTGAGGGAGCCCCGGCAGCTGTCGGTGCCGCACAGACACGGGATCTTGGTGTCCTCCAGCGGGAACTTGTAGTCGTAGGTGATCTCCTCATCCACGCCGATGGGCTGCTTCGAGTAGATGACGATCTTCTTCTGCGCCTCGATGGTGATCACCTTGGCGTAGCAGTTGGGCTGCGGGACGGGCAGAGTGAGCCGCGGCCCGGCGCCCCGCCCGCCCCCCGCGGCCCGGCTCCCCGCGCACCGTGCAGCAGTGGTTGATGAAGCGCGCCAGGTTGCCGCACTTGGTGGCGTCGATGATGGTGTCGTGGTCCACGCGGAACAGGTAGCTGCTGCCGATGCCCTCCTGCACGTAGCGCTTCTCCCGCATGTCAGCCACCATCTGCGACGGGACGGGGTCAGGCGCCTGCGCCTCAGCCTCCTGCCGGCCCCTCCGGGGGTCGTCTACCAGCTACCGCCCCGGGCTCCACACCGGCCGGGCGGGGGGCCGCAGCGCCGCCTCCCGCTCCCACAGCCCCGAGGCGGCGACTTGCCTTGGCTTCCGGGAGCCCTCCATCCTCGCCCTCTGGCTGCCATCCCGCTAGGGAAACCTGCTCT